ACCCATGTAGTAACCATAGTTATCCCCATTATTGACCTACTTGCTAAGGCCCCCTGTCCCTAAGCCCTAAACCCTTAACCAACTTATTAAGTCCCCCTGTATGAGTTCACAACGTATGACGCCCCCTTCAGGGTTCCTTAAGAGGACATCGAGGGACTTCACCGTCTTCGCAGAGTTGCCGCCTTGGGTTTCTCCAGTGCTTTTGGGTTTAGGGTTTAGGGTTTAGGGTGTGGGGTTTAGTGTTGCAGTAGACATGATATGTGCATCTGCAGCCCGATTTGGGCTTTGCATTGCATGATGCAACCCTCAGGGGCTAAAGCACCCCCAACTCGCTCTGCCATGCCCTGTTCAGTGCATCCTGATGCCTTAATAAAAAGCGCAAGTCCCGAAAATCACAATCAAAGATATTGTGTTTCGCAATATGCCTACTTAGCCTTCAAACCCCAAGTCGGCATGCCATCCCAGTTTCATTTTCCATTTTCTTTTCCATTTGATTCTGCACCCTTGGCTTATGCCCCAGTCTATCCCGACATGCCCATATATCCCTAAACCCTAAACCCCAAACCCTAAACCCTAAATCCTAAACCCCTAAACCCCCTACATGTTAAATCCTAATCCTTCAGTGCATCCGGAGGCTGCTCCCAAAGCAAAGGCAAAGACGAGTCCAAAGATGGCACCGGCACCAGCTGCACCCCAGCGAGGCCCAACTTGAATTTAGGGTGTTTAGGGTTTAGTAAATTGGGGTTTCCCAAAATTAGGGAGACGTTATTGGGGGGTTTCCTTATAAGAAGGATTACACTACTTTGGGTCGGTCTATATTAGGGATCTCTATATTAGGGACCCCCCTATTTTAGGAAACTACCAAATTGGGGTTTACATGGTCGCTTCCCAAAATCAGGACCCCTTACTGACCTTAAGAAAGTATGGTATACTTCTTTTTCTATACCAAATATGAGGAAACCTGCCCGTGTCTTGGAGATTTGATGCCCTTCAGGTCCCGCTGCTGCGACCGAAAGGAAGACGGAGCCCTTCTCTCAGGGTGGAGCCCTCCAGTGGTCCAGAAGAGGCTGACGTTTGTAGAGAGCTGCCCTTTCTTTGAATCATGTTAGCTTGATGATGCAGTTCTGCAGTTTTTCAGTGGTTTTGGTGCTGCAGCCGTTCCGGCTCCTGCGCTGCTCGCGCCATCCAGCTGTATCCGCTCAATGGCGATACTTGCTGGAGCGCATGAAGCAGCCACACAGTGCCAGGACTGAGGAAAGCTTCTTTGCGCCGAAGTTGCCTGGGCAGGCAGACGACAAGCGCAACTTTAGTAGGACATGGTCAAAGGATCGGAAACGGTTGCAGGGTTCGAGGAAGCAGCTACCCAAGCTGAAAGGCTTGGATGCCTCCACTGGCACGATTGCGAGTCAGTCAACTTCCTCCTTGCCCGGCACCGCCCGGAGCCGAAGCACAGGTTCCAGAGGATTCGAGGAGCGGCCTGCGAAACCTTCGCCAAAGGCGGGCAGCAGGCAGCCTAGCCGTGAGCCGTCGGCACCGCACGGCCGACCGCCCAAGGAGCCCAGCAAGGCCACAGAGAAGGTTCCCAAACGGCTCCCTCCGAAACCGGAGGCGCCCCGCAGCGAGAAGCCACACAGTGCTGATGAGGCGCGAGTTGAGCGAGCTGAGCGTTCGGAGCAGCGGAAGCCCAGGCCGAAGCCCAACCAGGCCAGCACAGCGTCCCTGGCGTCGCTCTCCTCCGCCCTGTCGGGTGCCGGGGATGACTCGGAGCCGGAGCGCGAGGCTTCGCTAGTCTCCGTGTCCTCCAGAGGCCCAGCTGTTCACGGGGGCTCCCGGGCAAGGAACAGCCCAAATGCTTTGGCTTTTCTGTTTTTTTTACAATGCCTTCCATGCTTTGCCCATGCCTGATCTAAGGCTACGCCCCTGAAAGCCCCACAAGCTCAGCGAACCTGGCCAGCATGAGTCAAGCTGCTCCAGAGAGCCCGCGGGCTGCAAAGCCTCCACCGCCTCCGCCGATTGACTCAGCCGCATGGATGCTTACTAGCTTGCTGGGTAATGGGAAACTATAGGGTCAATAGAGGGTTAATATAGGGTTAATATAGGGGCTATACAGGGGTAATATATGGGTTATATAGGGGGAATATAGGGATTATAGGGATAATGGAAAAGAAAATGGAAGCTACTATTCAGGGTTTAGGGTTTCATGTAGATCCATGATTACTAAACCGCCTACCCTTATTCAGAGGTTCACCTTCTTCTGAGCCAGGAAGCTCAGCAGCTAGGGATGCAAGTCCTTCAATTAGTGGCCCCTTCTTCACTAGCCATTTGGAATTTTCGGGCTTGTGCAAGAGCAAGGGCTTCTGAGTTCCACCAGTAGTACTGCAGCTGGAACACTGAACTCTCAACCCCAACGATGCCTATAAAATTTAGTCCCCTCCGCCTACCATAGCATTAATAAAACCTCGCGCACCCCCTCCCCCCATTTTTAAACATTCCCACTTTGGCATATTACTGGTATGATTTACCAGGAAGCTGTGCTTTAAGGGGGTTGGGGGATTGAAGAAAAAGGGGAGGGGATCAAAATCATAATCCCCGAGCCCGGCTAACCCCTAGACCCCACACCCATGATTGAGTGCAGGCCGAAACCACGGAAAACAAGCGGAAGATGCGAGATGCTGGGTTGGTGTTAAGGTTTAGGGTTTAGTGGCTTAGAGTTTGGGGGGGTACCATTACAAGGAGGCCATGTTGGTTACCAGGACCCTCCTTGAAACCTTAATTGGGTTTATACGGCCCTTAGTAGTGGGTCATTCGGCCTAAATAGAGGGTAGTTGGAGGGTCTGGGTACTACATAGCTTCCTATATGGAAGCTTTATTTAAGGACCTTAAACCCTATAAGCCCTATTTTTTCACATCGACCCAGGATGTGCTTCACCGTCGGCTGCGGTCTATACGAGAGAAGGTTCAGAAGCAACGGGCCGGCCTTGATGCTCAAAAGACCCTTTCCAACGGGCTCAGGGTTTAGGGTTCTGGGTTCAGGGTTTAGGGTTGGGGGGCTATAATACCCCAATACTGGAGCATCAAATGGAAAAGAATATCGAACATGAAATGGAAACTGCCATATATGTATATATAACTATATTGGGTTATATAAGGATTTTATGAGCTACAGTCTAAACTCCTTAAAGGCGGGCTATATACGGGATTATTTGGGGACTATTATCGGGGTTATTCAGGGGGGATACTAGGAGTTTAGACTATAGCTGGAATGAGCTATGGACTAAAGTTAGGTTGGGTGGGGCCAACAAGGGGATGTATAGGGGGCCCAGGGGTAAGGTTTCAGGAATATGCTATGATTTTAGTCCTGGGATCATATTTAGGATTTAGGGTTTAGGGGTTTAGGGTTTAGGGTTTAGGGTTCAAAATTACGTTGTGGGTGTATCGCTGGCTTTCTCATCTTCCAAGGCTCCCCATGGCAGTTTTGTTTATCATTTATGCTTCATGCTCGAATGCCTTCATGGCCTCAGGAAATATGAGCACCTGCCCGGGAAGGAGCGCGAGGCAGTGGAAAGGGCATTCTTCCACTACGATGCCGACCTATCTGGGTGTCTGGGACGCAGTTTAGGGTTTAGGGTTTTTTTGGGGTATGGGATTCCTTATAGTTATGTAAGTTATGTAAAAGGGATCCCTTTTTCTTCCTAGGGTGATGTGGGCTAAGGTATCTCGAGTATGACGAGATCGCACCCGCTCTTCGAGAGACCTGGCACTGCACATTCGTGATTCGTCAGCTGGGGTTTAATGTAGAAGTCGTCTGAATCCTGACCAGTATGGTTTTCGAGTAACCCTTATATTTCGTCTAATCTGCCCTAATTCCTTTTTCACTTATTCAGACCCCTTCTGCACAACCCCAATAGACCCCATTCTGAATTCCCTTCCCATGTCTTTGTCCAGTTTTTTGCCACTTGAAAATCCACTACCCTCATAAAGCATTAAATGCCACACCAGGAACAGCATTGTAGCTTCCATTTGTATTTCAGCCCCCTACACTCTGAAACATTTATGTAACCTGCAATGAGCTCTATAGACACCCTTAGCTATCCCTGTGCATTCGAAGTATGTAAGCCTCACATAAATGCTGCCTTTAGCTTCTTGCGCACATTCGTTGACGGCCGTACGTTCAACGTGGCTGCCTTGCCTTATGTTACCTCTCCTCAGCAGGTAATGACGGAATCGAAAAGAAGATGGAAACCAGTATATTCTGCGGGCCTATAAACATGGCATAATTTGTTCTGTATTATGGTATATTATTCCATATTATGGGGACTACGATAGGGATTCATTCCTTCATTCCTTGCTAACCAGAGCTAAGTTGTCGTTTCTCCTTGCGAGGCCGCTGTGCTGGGTTTAGGGTGTAAGGGTTTAGAGTGAGTCTAAGGTTGTCTCGAGAGTTTAGGGTTTAGGGTTGAATTTAGGGGTCGTAAAAAGCCCTGGATTTCTGAGGAGTTGGGACTTTCTGGATCCAACGCGATCGAGAAGAGGGTCGCTCGGCTCACCATGGCTATATTTGATCCGTGCGGGTCTATATGACAAGCAGAAGTAGCAGAACTTCCGGGTCTATATGATAAGCAGAAGTAGCAGAACTTCCAGAAAGGGGTGAGCCGCAGTGTTCATAGTGTCGAAGCTTGAGTAGGTGCCAATATTCCAACCCTCTTCGTACAAGGATTGTATAATGTACCCCACAACGCCTTTCTAACCAGTCCGGCCGCTACGTTCCTGCGGGTTTCCCAAAATTGGGGGCGCCTTCTTGGGGTTACCCATCATAAGGGTGACGGTATTTTGGGGTCTATATTGGGGTTCCCCCTATCTAGGGAAACTGCCTCCCAAACCCTAAACGAAAGCGTCAGCATTTGAACCTGGAGGGAATACCCTTCCTCCAGGCCCAGCTACCCGAGACCCCATACCCCCCTCAAAGTACCAAGTCTCAACATAGTATGAGCTATAATGTAAACTCCTTGAAGTGGGGAGTGATATAGGGGAGTATCATAGAGTAGGAGGGATGTTAGGAGTGTAGACTATATAGCTTGTATGATACCACCCTATCTTTGGTGCTTATTTATCAACAGGCGTGTTGCGCGTGTAGTATGAGGGGAGATGGGGCTGGAAGAAAAGGAAGCCACGGACCTAAACCCCTATATGGGGGTTTTCCCAAAATTAGAGGTACCCTTTTAAGGGATATATAGGGGTCTGTATGGGGATCATTGAAAAGAAAATGGACACTTCTATAATGGGTTATTTAGGGTTTAGGGTTGTGGGGTTTTGGGTCTAAGGTTTATGATTTTTAAAGGCTTAGGGTTGGGTCATTCCCCACCCAGTAACTGTCCTTAAAGGGGCCTCATTAAGGGGGTTCTTATAACTCCTATAACCCATTGTGGTAACAGTTACTGTAAGGGGGAATGACCTAAGGGGTAGGTTTCAACATATCTTTTTAATTCCTGTTGCCCTTAATCACTATCTAATCCTTGTAAAGCTGTAGGGCTTTAACTTCTATAGGGCCCCCACATCTACCCTAGTTTAACGCCTAAACCCTTAAACCCTA